AGTAAGTGAAAGTCATCTAAGGAAAGCTAAAACAATCATTCAGTGAGAGGTCAAGAATACTTATTTTCAACTTTTTTCTGACATGAATTTCTTCCAATCCCACCTTCCAGACCCTACTAACCAGGAATGAAATCCTCATTGTATAAAGGGCAGAGTATAAGATTTCACGTTAACATTTCAAGCACATACTTTTGAAAGGTAAATCTTAAACAAGTGTGAATTCAATAATTTACTATACCTACTGTGTGCCTGATGGTATACCAGATGCCAAGGATAATGTAGGAAACACATTAAATAGAATCCCGAAGCTACGAACTAGGAATATTTTTAAATTTTGTTTATAATAGTTACAAACACTACTTTTGTTCATACACATTTCTTAAGATTTTATGTTTAGTGTTTTCTTATCTTACAAATCTTCCTAACTACTGACAACCATATTATTTCATGTCATATTCAACCATATTATTTCACAAGTCATATTACTCTCTCAAAAAGCATTTATGAAATGTTACTGTTTTTAGCATATTCAGAACAGTGCCTGGCAGATATAAACACTGTGTGTTTATTAAATATTAAATAAAATATCTATGATATGCCAGGTACTTACTATTTTTCCCACATTTCACCAAAGAAAAGTAAAACTTTCATATTTCCTTTGCAGAACTGCAAAAGCCTTATACAAAATATGGACGTGTGCATCATTTGCATGAGTCTTAGAAGTCAAAAGATGGCAGCAAAGAATTCTGGCCAGATTCAGCCATCCCAAGAATTTTGTCTGGCCTAAACAGGGTTTATTTTTAAAGTAGTAACCAATATTAAATAACAGAAGATGTCATAGAAAAATCCAGATGTCTATCTTCTTAGAAAAATCTTCAACTCTACCAAACTGAAACCAGCATTTTCTTATTGCCATCACGGGGTGGACAGGACCACCAGATGCAGGGCATAACCTCGTTCACCACCGTCCCTTCTGCCTGGCACCGGCACACATTTGAGTTGGGGGCCAGGATCCGATAAGAGGTACAGAACCAAAACCACCAGCACTGTGAGGAACGAAGCTGAGTGTGACCGCTATGAGAAAACCATTACTGACAAAACTATAAAAACAGAGAGCCTTGCCCCTCTGGTCCTAATAATTTCCAGCTTTAAGACAACCATCATTTTTAGGGTTTGAGTATTTGGTTGGTTCTCTAATTTGCATAATAGAGTTAATTTGTGCACTAGAGTTTTATGTTTATATATAAGTTATGTTTTACTAGGGCAGGGAAGTTTATTTCATCTGGCAAACCATGATAACTATGAAGCAGAGTTAATTGGTAAGATATTTAAAATGATTATTCTCTTAAGGTTGAAAAGGACTTTCTAAAGTCTTTTAATGCACTTCCTTCAGAGACTCTTCTAACTCACCCCAGGCATTGAAATCTATATATTTTAAAGACAGAATATGGAATTTTCTATAACTTCCATATGTAATCTATGCCAGTGTTTACAAGCCCCATAGTCATGAGATTCGAAGTGAAAGTTTGTGCTTAAATATGCATGCTTCAGCTCTAGTAGATTCCTAATTCACATGCTTTCAAACCACTGTATGTTTAAAGACAACTAGAAGTTTATCTTTTGGTCTGCTCTTTCTTAAGTTAAAGAATTACAATTTCCATTGATATTTCTTCTTTCCCTTCAACTAATATGCATTAGGTGCCTTCCAAATAGTGGGAACCCAGTTCGCAGTGAACAGCCCACCATTTCATATAATCTTCACAACATCTCGAGGACACACCATTAACTGTCTCTATTTCCAGATGAAGACACAGGTCATCAAACTAGCCCAAGGTTACTCAGCCAGTGGGAATTAAGATTCTAGCCCATATTATTTTCTTTTCTACTGTGCAGTCATTTGACTTTACGTCTGTTTATTCATCTTCACAACTTTAGAGGGCAATGAAAGATCACTAGACAGTCACAAACATGTGTTCAGGTCCTAGTGAGTCTACCGTTTTCTGGGTGACCTTCATGTCTCTGGTTCTCTACACCTCAGCTGGAAATCAGGGACTGGCATAGATGGTCTCCATGATTCCTTAAAATCTACAAAATCTGTTCTCCCAGTGTCCTCATTAAACACATTGGCCCAAAACCTGAGAATAAAAGAAAGACCTAACTTGAGATAAAACTATCAAACAAAGGGTTTTGCTCCCCCAACTACCTCCCTTGACCGCAAGCAGTGGTTCTCAGTAGTCTGGGCAAGTTTCCATTTGGAAACTTCTCAGGACACTGAACCTTTCAAGTATTCGGTCCTTTCCCATAGCACGGGGGACTTCACCCTCTCTACTCCTAGGAGTTCCTATGCTAGTGGCAGTACTCTCATGTTCTTAAGCAGCAGTTACATGAGCAATGTTGCCAGATAAAATACAGGATGCCCGGGGGGCCAGCCCAGTGGCATAGCGGTTAAGTTCCTGCGCTCCGCTTCAGCGGCCCCAGGTCCGCAGGTTTGGATCCTGGGTGCAGACCTACACACGGCTCATCAAGCTATGCTGTGGCAGCGTCTCACAAAGAGCAACTAGAAGGATGCACAACTATGACATACAACTATCTACTGGGGCTTTGGGGAGTAAAAAGGAAAAAAGGAGGAAGATTGGCAACAGATGTTAGCTCAGCGCCAGTCTTCCTCAAAAAAGAACAAAAAATTAAAAGCTTAACAAAAAAATACAGGATGCCCATTAAATTTTAATTTCAGATAGACAAAGAATAATTTTCTATTATAAGTATGTCCCACGTATTATATGGGACATAATAATAGTAAGGAGCTCTATCAGCAACTTTGCTCTTCAAAATATGCTCAGAGAACTGAAAATTCCTCAGAAGAAAACTTCAAAAGGTCCCTAAAAGCAAGTCCTGGATTGACAAATCAAAATAATTCCCTAATTCATGAGATGGTAAAATGGAAATTCAGTAGAAGAAACCGTAAGTTTCACAGGCTATCAACCCAAGGTGCTGAAGCAGTACAGAGTATACATCCTCAAACAGGTCTCACCCTCTACAGGACAAGGACCAGGATTTATATTTATTCTACACGTATTTCAGTAAAACTAGAAAGCTTGCTATTGTTGATGACATGGTTTGAAAAGAAAAGTATTCTCCCTAAATCTCCTTGAAGGAATAATTAAAATTGATTTGTGGGGCTGGCCCCGTGGCTTAGCGGTTAAGAGTGCGCGCTCCCCTACTGGCGGCCCGGGTTCGGATCCCGGGCGTGCACCAACGCACCGCTTCTCCGGCCATGCTGAGGCCGCGTCCCACATACAGCAACTAGTAGGATGTGCAGCTATGACATACAACTATCTACTGGGGCTTTGGGGGAAAAAAGGAGGAGGATTGGCAATAGATGTTAGCTCAGAGCCGGTCTTCCTCAGCAAAAAGAGGAGGATTAACATGGATGTTAGCTCAGGGCTGATCTTCCTCACAATAAATAAATAAATAAATAAATAAATAAACAAACAAATAAATAAATAATTGATTGATTGATTTGAAATTAAGGGTTTGACTTCCAAACCATACGTTGTTATCAAACTCTAACCAGAGTTTTCTTTTCAAGTTTCAGCATTTAACAGAAATTACAAAAGAACTTCATTAAGCACTTGATACTTGAGTTCTAACTAAAAAGGTTATGCTTCCCTGCTGAGCAGAAGCACAGCAGTAATTACTCAGCCTACTAAGTGAAAAAAAGTCATTAAAAAAAATAAATGTTTCTGTTTCCCTCAATTTTGTTCTTTATTTCAATTTCCTCCCAAGTTGATTTTAAGTAAAATTAAGAATTGAAAGAGCGGGGCCAACCCGGTGGCGCAAGTGGTTAAGTGCGCGCGCTCAGCTGCGGCGGCCCGGGGTTCGCCAGTTCCGATCCCGGGCGCGCACCGACTCACTGCTTGGCAAGCCATGCTGTGGCGGTGTCCCATATAAAGTGGAGGAAGATGAGCACAGAGGTTAGCCCAGGGCCAGTCTTCCTCAGCAAAAAAAGAGGAGGATTGGCAGATGTTAGCACAGGGCTGATCTTCCTCACAAAAAAGAAAAAAGAATTGAAAGAGAAAAGTAGTCTACAAAACCTGACAGCTTTCTCAGGGTAAATATCCAAAACTATAATTCCTCACTCAAGTGTCCAAAAGGACAAGGGAGCTGTCCTAAACCATGGCCGAAGTTTGCAAAGCTCGGCCAAGTTCAGTCCTTGTACTTAAAGTCAAAGCAAGAGGGAGTTTATTGTGAGGGAGGGAGGATGGGGAGATGGGAAGGCAGGCAGTTTCTCAAGTCGCCTTCCTCGAGTTCTCTGTAAGTGCATGGGATCCTAAAGGCTTGTGTGACCTTCAAACAAACACTGCATTTGAAACCACTAACGGAATACAGAAGAATAAATATTAAGCCCTGAGGCCAAGGTCTTAATTGGCCTCAGGGCAAAATTTACAATAACTATTTTCTGTTTTGACTCTCCTATTCTTATATACTACAACAAGGAAAAGGTGAATATGACTCATCCTTTAAGAATCCGAGTTCCCATGCGATGCAGAGAAGGGTTGCTTCCCAAAGTTAGCTCAGCAAAAGTAGTATTAACAAAAGACAGAAGATTCTCCCTCTGTAGAGTCTAGCATCTAGCTCTATCATCAGCTGTGATATTTTTACAAATACACATTATTGGCAATTTATTGGATTACAGAGAATTTGTGCTGAAATAAAGAAGGAATAAAAACAAATAAATAATAAAGATGCATATTCTTCCCAAGGCAAAACTGTCCTTCTATCCTCTTTGAAATCATAAAAATAAGAAATAAAACCATCAGTGACTGAAACCCAGGTTAGTAGGAAAAAGTCAAAAAGGATGCTTCCACTTACCGAAGATCAAACGTAACTTATTTTAAATTCTCTTTGAGGAGGAACAAATTTGCTTTTTAAATGGTGAAAAAGGACCAAGCAAGGAGATTACTCAATAATCCAATGCTCGAGCGCCAAGGATCACTTACTTTGTAAATGGTAGGTAAGATCTGTTTCATTTTCAGCCTGTGAAAGACAAAGACGTCATAAACGGCTGACACCGCCAGCACAGTCACTCCTTGTTCCTTCCACAACATGCTGCATCCTGCGCACAGCCCTGTCCCCAGGAACCAGCCCCAAGTCCTGGCTGAGTAGCCTCTGGTCGAACAGTGTTTAATGTAGCAGAGCAAGGAGAGGAGAAAGAAGAGACTGGCCCCGACATCGGCCCGTCCCACGATGCCCGCCACGGCCTCCGTGTGAATGGGGTGAGAGGCGAACATCAAGCCAGCCATGAAGGTCCAGTATCCATCCCCAAGGAGTATCTTGGAGAAGCTCGTGAAGAGACCAGTGACTGTCGCGTGCAGGAGGACGTTGACAAGATGGTAGCTCCAGGGATTCAGCCCTCCGATGGCATGGTTCAGGCGAAAAGAGAGAGTGCAGAGTGGCCGGTACGACTTGTGGCTGCCGCTGTGGGTTAGAAGAGTCCCCCAAAAGTCATTGTAGAAAATGTGCGTCCACGGAGTTTCTGGGAGAAGGTCCTGATTAGTCTTGATAGCACGGCTGAAAAACAAAATGTTACAAAAAAAAAAAAAGCAAATGTAAAATACAGAAAGGAAAAAAAAAGAAAATATATGACATTGCTGAGATATTGCCTTCCTGGGAAGCTTTATTTTCATGTGGTTTTATGATGAGATTGCAGGTATGCATGATTAATTACAGAAGGCTTTACATATAGATTGAATTCACATCCTCGCCTTAATGCTTACCAACACCACAATTAGGGCTGTATTTCTTCTTTTCCAAAAGCTTTCTCCCTTGTTTGAATGCAAATACCTTTGAAGAATAAATGCAGAGTTTCTATCAGTGGTTTAAGCCTTACGGCAGCAATTGCCAAACGTCTGCCCTGAAAAATCATCTGGCATAGTGGCTGAAAATGCAGATTCCAGGCTGATGTGAGTCCTGAGAATCTGCATTTTAAGAAGCAGAGTCCAGGTGATACCGGTGCAGGAGATATGCTTAGAGTGAGGACTAGTCCCCTACTAGAAATAAATTTTAGGTAGAATATCTGTGTCAGAGCAATGCTTCTCAAACATACACACCACGTAGGGATCTTGATAAAAGACAAGTTCTGAATCGGTAGGTCTGGGGAGGAACCCAAGATTCCCCGTTTCCAACAAGATCCCAGGTGATGCTTATGCTGTTGGTCCTGCTTCAAGCAGCAAGGGCCTACACTGCCGGAGAGGCAAGGAAGAAGGGCTCTCTACCTATCCAAATATTTCTCTCCCTCCTGCATTCTAGGAAACTTCAGCCTTTCCCTCTTCTGAGCTCTCACAGGACTTGTTGTCATCTATAGCAAACATTATGGCACTTCATTGTCTTCTGCTTTTGAGAATTAATCATTCTAGGTTTGCATGCCTGAAATTTCCAAACAGACTTCAAGAAGGAATGACCTAGTGTTTACAGAGCACTTGCTATCTGCCAAGCACTGTGCTGGTCATCTTAGCTGTATCTTCTCATTTAATCCTTACAATAACTGAGGAGGTAAGTATTATTATCTACATCTCGCAGGTGAGGAAATTATGGTGGAGAAACATTAATAATAACGGTTCCAGTCACACTCGTTGGAAAGAGCAGCGTAGAGTTTCATGGCCCATGCTCTTTTTCCACTATGATGGGCTTCCTAAAATGTGATCCACATACCACAGGGAGTATGTGAGAAGATACACAAACCTTGTAAAAATTTGTAATGGTTATATTTATTTTAATGTGTATTTGAAAGGAAATTTAATTATCACATCAGAGCTGGACTTCACAGATGTTTGCTGAGAATGAAACTGTTAAAAATTAAAAAATCAAGGCCGGCCCGGTGGCATAAGCAGTTAAGTGCGCACATTCTGCTGCGGCGGCCCAGGGTTGGCTGGTTCGTATCCTGGGCACACACCGACGCACAGCTTGTCAAGCCATGCTGTGGCAGCGTCCCGTGTAGAGTGGAGGAAGATGGGCATGGATGTTAGCCCAGGGCCAGTCTTCCTCAGCAAAAAGAGGAGGACTGGCAGATGTTGGCTCACGGCCGATCTTCTTCACCAAAAAAAAAAAAAAGAATTAAAAAGTCAATGTAAAGGCAAATATTAAGGAATCAACAGTACCGGTGTATGTGGATAAGGTACAGATGTTGATGGTGGCGTGCAAATGACTCAGTTTGGAGGATCCCTGCTCTAGGCCATTATAGCTCCCAGAGAACAGAGTGGCATCTTAAGTCTTATATCCCCAGTGTGCCTATCTCTGTACTTACAAAAGAGGCACATGAGTTAGAAGGAAGTAGGAATGAGATGCTCAAGACTCCTATTCCTTAACTAGAAACCTCTTGCCTAGTCTGACATCAGGGCTTTTTAAGGGAGCATGGGCATTCCTGTAGCTGAAGAATACCTGGTGGGAGCCTGCCCTGATGACCTTTACCTCTAGCCTCTTCACCAGTTCTACCTTCCACTGTGAGGCAGGAAAGATCAAAGGAATTTCCACATGAATGTTATCAAAAATCAGGTTGGAAAAGCCCTGGATCAAGGAGAAACATTCCTGAGTTCCAGCTCTGTAATTTACTGAGCGTCTTCAAAACCAAGAAAATGCAAGAGAGATTCAAACAGATTAAGAAAGCCATCCAAGGCGACACAGACCATGGAAACAGCAGTTAGTACTCCAGTTGGGATCAAATGACTGGGCAATGCTGGTTCTCAGCTGCTTCTCTCAACTGCTTCCCAGTTAACCCCTGTGAGCTTCAGTTTCTATGGTGGTAACAGTTTTTATTTTGAAATCATTTAACGAACACTTGTTACTGTTCATTTCTCTTCTAAGTAGAGAAGCAGAGAACACTGCTTTGCAGATACATGAGTGTTCTGGAGACCTAGTGCAAATGACATCTCGGCTCTGTCAGCTGCTGTTACTATTATCCTACAAAGACTGGGGTACATCTACTAAAAGTCTCTTATTCAAGTCTGCTTGACCTTCAGCCTCTGAAATTAGGTGCACTTAGGGGTTAGAATTAAAATAGACTGATCAGCAGTTGACGAGTGTCTACTCTGTACCAAACACCATGCTAGTACTTTTACACATATTATCTACTTATGAGAACTAGTTGACTCTTCTAGCGGCTCAGTAAAAAGACAGAAGGTCAATTAAAATCATGTCTTAAAAAACACTCATTGTGGCAGGGATAGTTGATTTTTCCCCAATGTCTCTTCTCCCCTTTTTCCATACTCATAGACCTTCACTTTTTAGCTGGGTACATTGTCACGTGGAAAAAAGACTTCATTTCCTACTGTCCCTTGTTGTTAAATATGGTCATGTGACTAATTTTTGACCTATAGCACATAAGCAGAATGCTATGCACTACTTCCAGAAAGTGTCCTTAAGAAGAAAAAGCTTAGCATTCTTCCCTTCTACCCCTACCTCCTTCCTACTGGAGCACAGATGTAATAGCTGGAGTTCCAGCAGCCATCTTGGCTCATAAGGTATCCTTAGGAACAGAAATCACGCCCAGCAGAGCAATAAGACAGAAGGAAATTGAGTCCCCATCACAGTAGACCGTAACAGCCCTAGGCTAACTATATCCCCACTTTGTGAGTATGAGAAATAAATTGGTGTCTTGTTTAAACTGCGATATTTTGGTTGTTAGCTAGTGGCAGCTGAACCTATTCATAAGTGAAATCCTATGTTAACAGAAGACCTACTATATCACAGTGCTTTGATTTTCCATTTTGATTTTGATTTTTACAAGTCTCTGTGTATTGACTGTGCATTAAATGAATTTCCATATAAATTGGCTGTTAAAATATTAGAAACAGATGTTATTCTGGATCCATTAAATTAAAACACCCTGCTATGACATTCATCAAGAGTCTAACCCAGAAGTAATTGCTTAACACTTGATGGGTTCTAATTAAAATTTAAAAGAAATATGAAAAACTGCCAAAGAGTGTTGTCAGAGAGAGCTGATTTCAAGTATTCAGAATGAAAACCCAACTGGCCTCTCCTAAACATTAACCTAGACATTGATGTGACTTCCTCTAACATCAATGCAGAAACACTATACTACCAAAGTCAGGGTGGTGGAAAGTTGAATAGCAAAGCATTCTGGGACAAGGCTTTGCGATGCAGCGAGGAGAGCTGGGAAGCATGTTTTGTCCAGGACAATACGTCGCCCTTTCAGTGGCAGATCCATAATGGACGGAGAACCACAACCAAACCAAGTGTTCTACATGTCATTCGTTCAGCACTATAAACAACTCTGTAAAGACTTTTTGAGGAAAAATAAAACCCACACTTTTAAAAATGCGTTCAAAGCTGCCAGCATTTCTTATATTTATAGCAATAAATCTAGCAATCTGCAGCAGCCAACAAGATATACATCTAACTCTCACAAAGCAAGGGTTTCAAAACAAAGAACATAATTAACAAATCTCATAATTTCACTGTGAGAAAACACTTGCATGCAGCACAAGCTCTAAATTTACACTGTAGGAAAAAATGTAAAGGGTGAAACAGTGTTAATAAAAGAAAAGTGGAAGAGAGCAAAGGAAGGCCTGACCCGTGCGCAAAACACGCCACGCTAAGGGAGACGTTACTATGATAGAATCCTCTGACAGGTGTTATCTGCTTAGGCAGGTTTTTATTTAACCAATGAATATTATGGCAAAAGAACATGAAATAAGACGAAATCATACTGGGCTGTAGTATATAAGTCATGTCACGCAAGTGGGCGATAAGGGATGCATTACGCATCCCTCACACCGTATTAAGAAAGATATCGACCAAAGGGGCTTTAATAGAATCTGAATAATCTGCCGGCAAAATGAGAAGTAACGGTAGTCGTCCAACATTAACCATAACAGATTTTCACCCATTTGCATTTTCTTACACGAGTCCAAAATGGAAACAGTAAAACCTCTTCTGCTATTTCTCAGCTAATGGAAAACCTTAACTCAAAACAAAATTTCATGCTGATATAATTTCTGAGATTACTTCTGTGAATTGGTATTGAAAATTCAGAAAGACCCTAAGGAATTAGGAAATTTTCCACTCCAGGAAAGGTGAAGAACATCGGAGCAGCAGATGTGAAAAAGAAACAGTTGTAGGCAGAATTCTCCAGAGGGCACATGACTGAGAGACTGTCTTTGAAGCAAAAAGATCCAGTCTCTCAAGTCTTCAAGGAGGTCTTAACCTGCTCCCAGTTTTGTTCATTTCTGGCTCTTTGTTTTTGTTGCCTTCTGATTTTTCCTTTAAGAAATGTTGACAAAGGCCACTGCTATTGTAAAACTGATGAATGATGTGACAGCGCCATCTCAACTGCCCTTTTGTATATTTTTCTCACTGCTATTTTTTCTGTCCATTGACCTTTTCAGTCACAAGCATCCACAGAAATGATGACCATTTGTCCTTCAGAAGAGCAGGAATGATGCTTAGATTCTTCAAACATCAAATGGCACACTCTTCCACAGTGCTTTCCACTGTTCTACTGAGAGGTAAGTAAAGGCCAAAGTTTAAATTTAAAAAAAAGCAAAAAAAAA